AATTTTGGCAACAGACGAGTTGTTTGTCAGATTCAAATTCCATACATTCGAATGGAAAAAGTTGATGATTCTTGCATTCATAAGTGGACTCTAACCTTAGGATTTCCTTGTAGATTTTACTTAAAACTACTGTGAGAGAAACCTAGGATATTCTCCTGATGGTGACTAGCTGCAAATTATTTCTATCCATATGTCATAAATCTTGATAATACATCTTTTAAAATGTGCCCGAGAAACATATTTTGTGTTTATAGTGCTAAATTTCAGTGAGTCGAATTGTGTTTGGGCAGTATGTTTGCCTCTTCACGTTCTGTGTGACAGTGGAGTAGAATGGAGACTTCAGTCATTCAGCTGCAGGCTCTAAGAAAGCCTGTGGTAACTGTGCATTTTAATTAACTGAATCAGCTGAGGAAATGTTGTCTCTCTACTGTGGTGTAGCTGTCTGCCTTGTAAAGTCCCTCCCTGGATAAACAGAGGACTTCTATTTCTTAAACTGCCTTTCCCCCTTGGTCTTTAAGAGTGTTGGACTTTTTCCTTTTTCTTAAATTACAGGTGGAGAGGGTTTCACTAATTCTAAAATGATTCTCTAGAAAACTCAGTGGCATTTTTTACAGCACTTTGAGCTACAATATAGGTACTACAGGATGAATGCTGTTACTGGAGTACACCAAAGCATTTAGAAACCTAAATCATTTTTTGTCATATTATCAGAGATGACATCTATACTTGGGGATAGTTGAGATTGAAGATCAAACAGATTTTTCTCTTTTTCTTCCTTTTAATCTAATGAGTGAGCCACTGTGAATGAAACCAACATAATGGGAATAATTTAACCAGTGATTTTTTTTTTTTTTTGCACAATACACTGCTGGATCTTAAAATTGAGTTGAACATGAGGACATAGTCATGGTTCAAGGAGTTATGTACAAATTTGACCTCTGAAAATATGATTTATGAACATATTGAAAACTGCTGAATACACCTGCTCAAAAATTTCTTCTATGATTGGCTATGGATTAGTTAGTTGCTAGAATCTTTTATTTAGCGTCATCAAATACCCTGTGCAGAATTTTTGAACCAAAAGTAGATTAATACAAATTTCAGAGAGTGATTTTTTTTTGTCTTTTCAAACCATGTCCATGGTCCCATGTTCCTGTATCTGAGCTAGACCAAGCAATTTTAATACTGAAAATAAAACCCCAATCACTTCTTTAAATTCTTCTTTAAAGAGAATAGAAACAAAAACTTGAAAATAATGTAAGTAGTCATCAGGCATATCTCAAGAAGAGGTTTTACAAGTAAAATGTGATGCATTAATTGTAATGAAGTCCTAGAATGGATAACCAAGAAAAGGGCTGAGGAATGCAGTTCTTGGAAGACTGTTAAAAATACAATGAAATTAGCTTGGACTTTCAAACAAGAAAATGGACTGCACAGTTTCCAAAAACTCATATAGCTACAAGATTTTAGGACTACATAAAATTTTCACTTCGATTCTCTTGTTATATGTTTTCTCAAAATAAATCTACTCTAATGAAAAAAAAAAATGATGGCAAAGATTAAAAAGGGCCAGAGCCTGAGAGATATTTCACATGAAAGGAATTTTTGGATGATTTACAAATCTACCTTATCTTGTAAATTACAATTAAAATGCAACTTGAAAATTCTTTAGGGTGGATGTCATTTCTATTTTTCAATTTAAACTACCATTTACAAAATTATAGTTCTCCATTTATAGATCCAAACAAAGCTATTGAATACAAATAGGAGGTTTTATTCCTTTTACATTAATTTATTAGACTATGTCATTTTAATTATTGCTTTTCCAGGAGATAAAAACCATTTTTTTCCTTTAACACAGTCTGAAGGTGCATATTTAAGTTGTATAGATTGACTTGCATAGACTCTAACATGCCTTCCACATAATAAATATTTAGGAAGTGAAAAAGGTATTACTGTTTGTCAACTTCTGAATATTTAAAGTTTAAAGTCTCCAGAAGAATAGCAATTTTGGAAACATGTATAGTCAGAAAGCCAAAGACTTGTGACCTGGACGCTGTGAAACTGTGCAGCATCATCTTTGTGTAGTAAAAGAAGGGAGGCCTTGGTATGTATCTATAGCAGAAGCCTTGTAGAATTGGGAATAAGGTAAGGAAGGAGACATCCAAACTAAAGAGCAAAGGACTTCTCCCAGGAGGAGGTGGGCAAAGAAGAGGTCACAAATACACAGCTTTTACAACAAAAGTTGACTACCCAGGCTCCACTAAAATCAAAGTATATTTATATTTAGAATTAAATATTATTCCTTTGTCTTAATTTTTCTTTGCTCCTAGGCACTTTAACATATCCCAAAAATGTTCACAACTTTGTTTATCCAGGGAATCTGCTAGTAGATTATTCATAACATAGAAGTCATTTAAATCAGAATATGATTCTTTAAAATTATATAAGTATATTTTTGGGAAGACTATATGTAGTACAAAAAGTATATATGAAATAAAAACAAAAAAGAGTGTATATTGACTACATAAGTAAATGATGTTGACACAATTAAGTCTACATAGAATTTAAATATTTGCTCTGGATTATAATTTTATAATAACCTGAATTATACTCTAGATTGCACTCTAGAGAATTAATTGTAAAAATAACCAAGAATAAAACACAATCACAATTGGAAATAAGAAAGAAGAGATGATCCATTTCCTCAAAAAAGAGAATGAAGACACATTAATAACTCTAAAACAAGTCAGCAAGAGTTGTAGTTTCTGATACATGTACAAAATAGCATGGGATGGGCCGCACTGTGGTGCAGTGGGTTAATCCTCTGCTTGCAGTGTGGGCCTCCCATGTGGGTGCAGGTTCCAGTTCTGGCTGCCCCTCTTCCGGTCTAGCCCTCTGCTATGGCCTGGGAAAGCTGTGGAGGATGGCCCAAGTGCACCCACATGGGAAACCAGGAGGAGGCACCTGGCTCCTGCCTTTGGATCAGCACAGCTCCTCCGGACTTTGCGGCCATCTGGGGAGTGAACCAACGGAAGGTAGACCTTTCACTCTGTCTCTCCCTCTCACTGTCTGTAACTCTACCTCTCAAATCAATAAATAAAATCTTTAAAAAAAAAATAGCAAGGGAAAAAGGGAAGGGCAAGGTTACGATTTGTAGAGTCAGGAGAATTTGAGTTCAATATTATCATAGAAAGACTGAGAATTGACAGGAGGACTGGGGAGGGAGAAAAGGCATTTCTCATAAAAGAAACTGCCTGAGAAAAAGTACAGAGGGAGGAGTGGTAGGAAAGTCTGTGCTACTGAAGAACTGACTAGCAGGAAATTATACAGAAATAAAGACGATGACACTGGACTTTGTTAGGGGGTTTAGGACGTTGAATCTATACCGCCATCACTCTTCAGTGTTAACCATATGCCTCGATGCCACTGACCTTAGGGCAATTTAAATTATTTCTTACACAGATATTCCATTGTAAATAAAAAACGATAGTGCACTATGTTCATTATTAAAGCACACTGTGATACTGGAATTCTTAGCAGGCAAAGCTAATGAAGGAAACAAGAAATTTATGACGATGAGCCAAGCTCTGTACTAAGTGATTTTATCTTTGTCATCTCATTTAATCTTCATGGACCTTTACACGAGTTAAATAATATATGAAATATGCCTGTATAAAAAGCATATGAAATACTCAAGAAATGCTGATTCCCTGCCCTCTTGCAACAATTCTGTGATGATTACATTGTCTCATAAATTAATACATAAATAAATAAATAAATGAAGCCAAGACTGAAGAATTTGCAGGTATTAGGTCCCAGAACCAGATTTCAAACTAGTTCCTCCTGGATCCATAGCCAAAGTTCTTTCTAGAATACAAGGTTGTTTTTTCATGAAGAAAAACAGAGGAGAAGAAACAGGTAAAAATCACTGAAGAAAGCCCTGAAATATATTTTATTGAATGAAAAACATGGTTTGCCCTGCTTAATTCCCCTGGTAAGGTTCTACCTCATGTTTGAGAAAAATATAGAGCAATCCATGTAGGATGATTTTAGATGCTTACAAAGCTGTTAAGCCCCCAGAAGCACTTTCCTGAACTCTGTTGGTTATATCTGTTTTTAGTATATGACTTTCTTACCTCTAGCTAAAGGTTTTTTATCTTTATTTAAATGTAAGTGCCCTTGGAAGGGACAATGCTACTGCTCTTGATCTGGGAACGGACATTTATATGATAAGCCATAATGATTCAAGAAAGTCTTATACAAAATTGGATCAAGAGATTTTAGCATTTTTAATCCTTCTGAATAGAGGAAAAGCACAGAAATGGGAGCTGAGATAGAAGGCAGACGTTCCAGACTTGCCTCGATTGCGCTCTAGAGAAAATCTAAAAGCCGCAATCATAAAACTGATGAAACAAAAACAAATCAAACAAACTAGACACCTCTCTCTATTTGAAATAGAAAAATAGAGGGAATTGAAGGTTACATAATTATGACAGCAAACTTGGGGATTAATTCTGCTGTGGAGAAAGTGAAATACAGGATATTTATAATTTGGGATTATTGTTAAATTTTAGAAATATATTGGGTTTTGACTATTTAAAAATCTCCATTGACCTTTTTTTTAAAATTTATAGCTAGTTCAATGCTTTTGCCTTTAGTGTAAACTAATAAAGACCCTACATATCTATGTGTTAGACCATAAAACAACTGAGGAGAAGCTCATAAAAATATATGTGATTTTTACATTTACTACTTAATCCTCTCTGTAAAAGTATATAGGACTAAGTGCATGCTGCCTTTAATGACACGAGTTGGGTTGGAGTGGGTACCATAGGGTGGGAAGAAGACTAGACTGGCAGATTGGAATTCAGACAGTAGAGGAACATCCTAATGGTGAACCATTGGAAATAATTTTCTAAGGGGCACTGGAGATGTATAAATTGGCTTGAGAAGCCAAGTGTGGGTAAGGTATTCAGACCTTAATAATTCAGTATTATTGGGTAGACTTATAAAGATATAAAAATATATACGATTAATAGATAATTCACTGAAAGGCCTGTTTGTGTATTTTAAAAAAATGAGTTTATTATGAAAGTTATAAAAGTCTTCTTATCAAATCATGACATAATATACATAGATTCCTTATACAAAATAAGGACTCAGTTACACAAGATACATAGACACACATATAAAAATATAATAAAATATACAGTAAAATATGGCCTGTTTTTCTTTTGGACTCTATAACATGCCTAACTTTGTGGGAAAAAATACTTATATGATATAGCTTCTGCTAAATTATACAAATTTTCAAATATTCTATTTTTCATTATTATCATAAGTTGTTACCTACCCTGGCATTGGATATATGGCTGTACACAATTCCAGTCTTTATGAATTTTCACTTCAAATTTCTGTACAAATTGTGCAAACCTCTCATAAGTTGTCAAGTACAAGTCAGGATTGATCTCAAAGTGCTGAGTCAGTGTTGAAATGTCTTACTGTTTTCACTGTTGTAAAATTCTTAGAGTGTTTTCATTCTTGTGACTTAGCATTTTTTACTGTAATAATCTTGTCACAAGTTTATCAGAGTTTTTAAAGTTGGTATTTCTTCAGTATCAACATAATGTATTCTACAGTTTTTCTTATGAGTCTGATTAATTGCATCAAATGGAGGCTGGTAAGCATTTTGCTTCTTTCAGAAAGTACAGAAGACCGTTATTAATGATGAGAAGCACAATTTGGTTACATGTGGGGCCACCTGGTTTAAACCAGAAACAGTATTCAACAGCATATCCTCCCTATATGATAATCTATCTATGGGAGAACATTGTCTTTTTACTATCATATTGTTAATAGACTTGAGCACCTAGAGGGCTTATTTGAGGTCCTTTGATCTTTACTGGCTAAAAGTATTTTACATTTAGAATAGATAGAATTAATATGATGAAGCTTTAATTAAAAATACTTTTGTTAGATATAGTGTTTATCACTTCATATGTGAGGGGAAAATGTTTGCATTTGATCCCTGAGAAAACAAAATTATGATTATGATGTAGGAGTGTTTTTGATTGGTGAAATACAGAGGAGTAATCCAATACCTAAATCCTGTACTTTACTTTTTGGTGTTAGTTAATTAAAAGGGAAAATAGTAAGGTTTAATATTTATCAGACTGATCATTCTGCCAAATTTCCTCTTTTTTTTTTTTTTTTCTATTGAAAATCAGAATATCACTTCTTTAACGTGTTTTACAGGCTGGAAAGATAAAGTGTCAGCCAGTTAAGTTTGTCTTTTATTTTAATATATCATGCACATATCTTTTCTGTTGAAGATAGGTTATTATTTGTGTGAAATGTTCAAATTGTGTGAATTTTATTGGGATGACTTTACTATGATATAAGGAGTAGAGGCCTTGGAGACAAACATTTTAAGAATGGGAGAAAGAAATGAAGAAAATTGCTTCTTGGGAGGAGTAGGACCCCATGAAAATAATAATAAAAATTCACAGCATAGAGTATTGTCAAGAAAGTTAGTAATTTTCATTAAAATATTTGTTGATAAGGATGATAAAAGTTCTTTTTCTTTTTTAACCAATAAAATGGATTATTTGTTGCTAATAGAAGCTCTGTTGTTATAAAGCACAGTTGTAAAATATGTTGGATCTGCTTGGTCTTATTTTATGAGCCATATATTCTGGAGACTATTCCATATATCCTCTATGAGCTCCCAGAGTTCTCTTGACTTCTTCAGGAGACCTAACTCAAGAACACTCATCTATTACCCTTTGAAGTAAAAGCAGCATAACATTCTTAAGTGCTCATTCCTGTGAGAAACCACCATCCTCTCTCTGTGATCTCTAGAGATGTCATAGGAATTTAGCTATCAAAGCAGAAGAGTTGGTGTCTGCTTAAGTTACAAGAATTTTGGGAATACATCTGTTACTTTGTACTTTGTAAGCCCCAGTACATGAAGTGGAGAGAGATTTATGATTATACTGGTTATTATTTGATGAGTTAAGTATGTGATTTTATATAAGCAAGTATGCTGTTATTCATAAAAGACAAAAATAACTTGTACTTTTATACTACTTATTTTTTAATACAGTGAATATCAGTGATTACAACTGAAAGATGAAGTTATTAATATTTTTTATCCTAGGAAGAAAATTTGTGTACAGCTTACCATTAGGGTGTGTTTAGGAGGGACAAGAACAGAATAGATGTTCTGTGATTGATGCCTAGAATATGTGCTATTCTCACAGTCCCATGTTATGAATAATTACTGATTGCTCAATAATGAGGTCATCTTGCCATGTAAATATCATAATTATATAGTTTAAAGTCAACATGGGCTGAAAAGAGTGATCTGGGAGAGGGGATGGACAAATAAACCTCTCTGTTGATTGAAAGCCCTTGCTATCCTGACTTGATTTGGGGCACAACTAAAATTTTGATTTTGTTTGGTAAGTTTTTGGTTCTGTATACTTTGGTTGGTATCTTTATGTCTGTTGTAGAATTGTCACCACTATTGACAAAATGCTAGATTTGGACAACATGGAATGGTCAAAGATAAATTCTATACTCATATTGATATAAATGAATTTGGACTTCTGTAACATAGACTCTCAATTGCTTTTTGACCTATGCCAAACATAGAATACCAGTACACTCACCAAGAAGCACTGAGTGCTCTTTGAAAATAGTGGATTGCTTCCATTTTAGTGTTTACAAAGTACTGCTCATATTTGGTCCTTTCAATAATCATGAATAATCAATAGAATGTATCCATTTTTACATGAGAAAGTTATAGTCCAGAAAAAACTTAAAAGTTGTCTTGAAAACACTTGATTAGTAAATGGTAGAGAATTTTGAATTTATATCTCGATTTCCAAGGCCCATATTCTACCATATGTGGCTATAATATTCTCTGCAAATGAAAAGGAATTATAAACAATTTTATTTACTATTTTCTGAAGCATTTTTATTGTATTCTACCTTATAAATCAAAATCACCAATGACTTTGGAGGTCAAGCAAAAATTGGGTCCAAATCTGTAGACTTATGATTAGGGCAATAGTCACTTTCACTTGTATATTTTTTCCCTTTTCAAAAGCCACTTTTACAAGCTTGATCTATTCTATTCCACTTAACTTAGCTTTTTCATTTAAATGTACTGATATTATTTTTCTTGCCCATAGTTTCTCCCAACTGCCTCTGATTTTTATGTATCTAGCTAAAGAATACAAGAATAGAAAACTGCATGGATTTGCTGCAGGTCTAGATTCTAATAAGAACCCAGGGAAAACAGGAATAGAACAAGCAACATAATTCCTGAGTTTTTTATTTCTCATGGCTCAGTAATTCTCATCTGTCATATCTGTAAATCATTTTGTCTTAGGCTTCCTGTTCCGATACTTGTTTCTGATGCTTGTTTAATCCACACTTTAAATAAACTATTTGAGTTCTCATCTTAGTAAATGTCAAGGGAAGAGAAGATGGATCGTGCACCTATAGCATCCTAAAAACCTTTGCCAAATCCATGAATCTGACTCTGCATTATCCTTCCCCAGAAGGAGAGCGTAATTTCATTATCCATGAATCATCACCTCTTAGACTGTAACATCATTGTCAGAGAGCCTAATAGAACCAGTGTTCAGCTGGCTGAAAAGGGGGAGGGAGGGAGAAAGCACTGAGGCAAAGCACAGGTCACTGGCATGATCAGCAACTGGAGACTTCTAGAGACAGAACGGGTGGCCTCCTTCCCTTAATATCTCTGATATCCCTTCTAATAATAAATAACTGTTGCTTATTCTTTCAATATTTATATATTTAAATTTGATTTCCCAATCTTAATTACATTGTGTTTCAGTATCCTGCCTATAGAAAATGATAACCTATTTAATTAAAAATTCAGACTATTTGGCTAATATCAATGTATGTAAAATATTTAAGCAATTTCTTACCTATTCTCATTGCATTGTTATTTGTGCTTCATCTTTGGACAGATTTATAGCCCTTAGTATAAGTTCTATGGCCTCTGTTCTGATGTTACTAAAAAAGTCATTGTGAAAAATAAAACTTTAAAAAACCACATAATAATTATGTTTCAAGAGAAATCAGCTAAGTAAAATTCAAATCTGGCATACAGATAAACGGCAACATACCTGTTGTTAAGTACCTTTCTACAAGGATTGAGGATAAAAAGCTGCGATGTATGAATAAACTGTGGTTAGTCTAATCAGCCACTGGAGGTCACTGGTGCTCCACAGAAAAACAGTTTATTGCCTGTTGGCCTACCTAGGTAGTTGACTCGACAAATCAAGCAAAAAATGACTTAAATCCTATGAAAAAAAAGTAAACATCCTTGGAAAAAACAAACTCACTTAAAATGAAAGTATCTTTAATCAGTATTGCTTACAAGATTGTGGCACTGGGATTGTTAACTCTATGCTATGGTAGCACCATGATTATTGGGACTTAGAAAATGGGGAGAAAAAACCCTCACATGCAGTTCAGAGAGACTAAGCTGCATTTCTTCTCTGTCATGATAGCATGCAGAGTACTAACTGAGTCCATTCTGCATCAATGTGTCTCTTGTCAGGCTTTTATTTTAACTGTTGTTGCCTTTCAGAGAGGTCAATATTTAACGTGAATTTACCCTAGAAAATTGAATATCAATAATGTTTCCCTAAGATATAGTGAGTTTAAAAGACTTATGAAAATATATTTATGGTCTGTAGTCCAGAAAGTGCCATGGGGTGGAGGTTGAGGGTAACAACTTTTGATCAGAACACTTGTCAGTTGGCTTTGCAAATTTACAATGGTGAAGTGGTTAATATCTAATCTACAAGAGTTACATGTTTGTATCCAGAAGATACTGAGAACTGGAGAGGCTGCTTCCCCAAAAGTAGGGGGAGAAAAGAACTTTTTTGTAATTTCATGTCCAGAATCAAAATCAGTTATACCATCTATTCTTATATTTATAAGTTAGGCTTACAAAATGATCAGCCATCAAAATGGTCATTCACAATGGCTTTCAATTTTAAAAACACTTTACATTCAATAAATATATTTTATATATAGTAGTAGTACCATAGCATCTGAATTAAAATGTAAGTATAAATGTGTGTTGTCTAAATATACTTGGTATCCATCACAAATGAAGCAGAATATCGTCAATGAAAAAAATGGGCTTTCTCACTGCATTTAATTAATATAACCAACTTAATACAGATAAAAATGAGACTGACCAGAGAAAATTTCTTTCTAGGTGGAATATGTATTTACTGCTTTATGAAAAAAATTTAAATTACAACTTAAGTGAAAAACATTATAGTAGACTCATTCATCCAGTTCATAGTACTGTAAAGAAGTATTTGCATTATTAATTAATTGGAAATATATGGCTATTTGCCATTAATAAATATATATTCAATAATTATTCATTAGTAAATATATTATAGCCATAATGCTTTTCTAAACTGGCATCTATTTTAAGATTTAATCAAAATTCAAGTACCTTGATAAATCCACTATAAGTGTTTATATTTCTTTATTGCTTCAGAAGTATGATTTTAATTATCTGGCTTCCTGGCAATTATATTTCATAGTGACTTGCCTAGATTTTTTTTTCTCTTAGCATATGATAATCCTTCATACTATATAAAAATGCTGGTAAAAATAGCCATTCACTTTTTCTCTTTGCTGCAGTGATTCTGTTTGAAAGAACAGAGACATGGTTAAAGATGTAGGGCTTGGCAAGCCAAATTAAATGAAACAGCCCCAATGTTGCAATTCCTGGCTTTTGCTCATATGATACAACTGTTCATTGTGGAGGATGAAAGACATGATATAGACTAAAGATATTTTTCTAAAATCTTAATGGACTGTGCTTCAAGTTATTTAAATACAGAGTCTATATTTTTGCTGCAGTCAATAAACTTTCACCAATGACATGAAAACATGCATGCAGCTTGCAGATTGCCAACAGGATCTGTACAGAGTTGTACTGATGGATGAGTTCACAATACAGATGAACATGGTAATGTCAACAGTAGCAAAGAAAAAAAAATGTGTGGTGGTTGGTTTTTTCCTCCTTTAAGATTTATTTTATACATTAGTTAAGGTGTTTTCAAATTCATCTTTTTGAATGAGGTTGTTGGTGGAAAGCATGTCTTGGAATGTGTTCTTTTCACATCTGAATAAAGTGTCAGTCATTAGGGTCCTGGTGTGTGCAGGGAACATCATGGAACACAACAGGACAGGCTGGCAAACCCTGAACAGAAGAACATGACAGAGCTAATGATTACACTAACTATATTAGGGTCTTAAAAAAAAAAAAAAAAAAAAAAAAAAAAAAAAAAAGCTGTGAAGAGAATTTCAGGTAAGCTTCCAGCCACATGCATGTAGCAAGCTGGGTTCACATCTGCAACAGTATCTCTAAACACTGCCTAATGTAAGGAGCCCTGAAGAAATCTGCTTCCTTAAATTTGCCTCTTGACTATTTAATTAATTATCTAGGAAACATACAACCCAGAAAAAGTGACAGTGAAACCTCAAGTCTGATTTATCATGGCTGGGTCTCACAGACAGGCTTCAAGTGTAAAACTTTGTATTTTTCACCATGCTCACATTTTACAGTTGTCTACTTTGGCAGTATTTTAACACTGCAACATGTCTTCTTTATCTGTGCATGGCTTATTGTAATTCAGATACCTCTGCTAATATTACGGCTTTAATCCAGTATGGTCTTTAGATACGTTCCTACATTTTTTTTTTCTAAACCCGGCATTGTTTTAAAAGCTCTTTCCATAGTGTTCCTAAAATCAAGCTATCGCCTAGAATCAGCTCAAGCTCCAAGTACCTCGGATCACACACCCCTTTCCTTGATTTGTCAATTAACTACAAATCTCTGTTTTTACCAGGAGAGTAACAGCAAATGTGGGGATTACTTATGGAAGAAGTTTTATCTTAAAACACATGAGACAATAAAGCAATCAGTAAAAGGTCACATACAATAGGTATTATTTTAAACCAGAGTTCAAGCTTCACATTGATCGTGGTATTTAAATCTTAATGGGTTGATTATGTGCGAAAGGAAAATGACCAGTATTATGAATGCACTAAGACAGGGAAGGACCTTGCCAGCAAAGTGAGATGTACAGGGAAGGGGATGGGGGCACCGTGTTCCCTTTATAGTCACCAGAGTTCATTAAAGACCACTTATTTCCCGGCTTTTAAGAGCGTTTTTATCACAATGGTTCATACCTCACATTCCCTGGAGCCTGATTTGTTATAGGTGCAGGGTCCTGTCCCATTCAGCAGCATCTCGCTGGTCTCCGTGTTGGTAGGTTTATAATCTACGTAAAATTCCTGGGTGCTGGGAGTCATTTGCTTTAGTGACTGTCTTTTCTTTTTCCTGTGCCTTCGCATGAGGGAGCGCTGCTGCAGCTGCTTCATGCTGGCAGGGTACCGCTTCCATGACACGTAGATAACGAGCAGGATGACAAGCACGGACAGGAAAAGGGCCACACTCCCTGCGATGATTTTATGGAAAGAGATGTGCTCCGTGTCTGCATCGGTCTCTGGGCCGGGCTCTGTAGCTCCCACTGTGGGGGGCAAAGGAGGTTTGCTCTCGTGTTTCGGCCTGGGGAGCTTGGGCTTAAACGTTGGCTTTGGGAGAGCCCTGGCCAGATCAAACCTCTCCGTGGTACTTTTGCCACATATGCTGTAGTTCTTCACTGCATCAATCACATTTACTCCTTGCAGTTCTTTGGGACTGGCACAGATAATTGTATTCTCCCTCAGACCTTTAAAACTTTTCAGCCAGTTTACCAGGGAGCAAATATTTCTGCTGCATTCCCATATATTCCCGGCAAGACTGATGTCATTGAGGGATATCCAAGAATCCAAAATCTCTTGACCAATAAATGTGAGCTTGTTGGAATCCAGGTTGAGGCGCTGCAGATTCGGGACACACTGGAAAACACTGGGTCCACTGAAAGCTTCGATCTCATTGCCTGATAAATCAAGCCTTTGTAATGAGCTCCAGGTCCAGGACATGGTCTGTCCTATGACACTGATTTTATTCCATTGCAAGTAAAGATTCTGAAGGCTCACCAATCTTGGAAAAAGGGCCAGGTTGAGCTTGGAAAATTGATTGTGCTCCAGATGAAGTTCTTTGAGTCTGATCATGCCTGCAAAAACATTCCTGGCTAAACTTCGGATCCTGTTATATCCCAGGTCCAAAAGTTCTAGGTTGCGGCAGTCTTGGAATATTCGCACAGGGATGGTTCTCAGGGAGTTGGACCGTAAATGTAAACTCAGCAGCTTCCGCAAGCCCCGAAACTGTTCAGAACCCAGAGAATGCAGCTGATTATAGGACAGATCCAAGTTCCGTAAATTTGTCACAGGTCTGAAGGTATTGTTAAGAAAATAGGAGATTCTATTGGAACTCAGAATCAACTCTTTGAGTCTGCGTATTCCATTAAAAGCATTCTCATCAATATTGCTGATATGGTTATGGTCAAGGTATAGCCAGGTGAGCTGGTTGAGCCCTTTAAATTGATTATATTTAAGTTTTTGAAGGCTGTTATAGCGAAGGGATAAACCTAAGCAACCAGCAGATATACTTGAGGGTATCTCCTGTAATTTCTGAGATTCACAATAAACCATTTTGCCTTCACACCTACAGCCCTTAGGGCATCCTCGTTCGGCAGAAGACAGCATTGTCAGTAAGACAGTGGGGGCTATAACCAGTGCTACAGCTGATCCGCTCAGTAGCCTAATTACATTGAAACCTGGAAATAAAAACAACTTAGAAAAGTTATCCCCCCAAAAAAGAATTCATTTTTAATCAAACAAAAATAGGCATATATTTTCATTTTTAAGAATGTAAATCTAGATAACAACATTTAACATCAAATATCATCTCCTTGTAATTTAAAAAGGTTTGCCTTTAAGGTATTTTTTAATTGTTAAACAAGAAATCATGTCCATTAAGCAATTGAATTTATAGTTTTAGATCAGAGCAAGGTAATTTCTAAAATCATTAAGGCAGAATTATTACACAGACTAGAGGTTTTTTTTTTTTTTTTTTAAGAAGAAAAGAAAATGACAAAACATACCCATCCTTTGTATTGTTCAAAGGTCGTCCTTAAGTCTTTTGCTTTGGCTTAGGGGGCCACTTGCATGACAGCCCCTGTCAGCTGCACTGTAGTGAGTCAGGGCTCACTGACACCCAGGAAGAAAAATTGGACCCCTTGGGAGATGGACCGATTTTGGAACATTATTCTTTGCCAGCCACGCAGAACACTCCAAGAACAAATAAATCCCAAAAGCGCATTTGTAGCAAAACATCAAAATCTTCCTAGGTAATAGGATCTTCATGGATATTACGTTTTTGCATCTTTACAGGTTTTTGGGGGTGGGGGGAGAAGAAGGGGGCTAAAAAAAAACTGTCTTCTACAATTTCTTCTTATCAGAAAGCATGATGTATTCCTTCAGGCAACGTGGGGCTACCTGAGCGGCCACATCTGTATTCCATAGCCCAGCTGTTCCTGTGTTGAGCACCCAGTTCAGCCACAGCGCTGCGTTGGAGCCCAGAAGGCAGGAGAGCCCCGTACCGTGCACACGCTCAGCTCACTTCTGCAGACTGTCATTCTGAAAGCTGCTCGGACTGTTGCTTTGGTTTCAGTGAATGCAGTCTTATGTAAAGCTGCCCCCAGTGGTGAAGAACATTATGGGCATGTGCAGAAATGCCTCTCTTTTATCTTGCAAATGAGCAGGCTCTCTGCTAGAAAATGAATGATTCTTTTAGGTGGCTCAATAGGAACTGAATGGTCACCATAATCAATAACTAGCAGCATTTTTTTGTGGTTTCCAAGTCTTGTTTTACAATTTGGCAACATCTTTATTGTTTGCGTCCTCTTAATCACTAAACATGTGCTGCCCAGAGTTTTTCTGGAGCTTGACATTAAGTTCACAGACCGAATGTCAATTTTCCTTAACCTCAACGTAGGCTTTGAACTGAAATTTGTAAAATGAATTATTGAGCTTTTCTCAGAGAAGCATTAACTGCTTGCCCGTTTGACCTCTTGGAGTCACAGTGATTATATTATGCAAGGTGTCTCAGGATGCAAGAACACATGCATTTTGGAATAGAAAAGATAACGAAAAACATATAGAATGATGGGTCCAATAGCCTTTCTGGTTTCATGGGCAAGATATAATGGTTTTTATGGCTTAAGATTTGGTTTGTCGTTTTAGTTACTGTCATTTTTTAAGATTAAAAACAATTTTTAGAGCCAGTATAAGAATCAAGAGGTCATTTGGTTCATAGTTTATTTATGCTACTGGTATTTATTATATGCTGCGTTATGTATGTGTTACATACATAATATTTACTGAGCTCTTCCTATGTGCTTAAATGGACTTTCTTATTTTGTCTTTAAGCAATAGTATTATTATAACTTCCATTTTTTTATTTTATTTTATTTATTTATTTATTTATTTATTGGCAGGCAGAGTGGACAGTGAGAGAGAGACAGAGAGAAAGGTCTTCCTTTTTCTGTTGGTTCACCCCTCAATGGCCGCTGCAGCCAGCACATGGCGCCAATCCGTAGCCAGGAGCCAGGTGCTTCTCCTGGTCTCCCATGCGGGTGCAGGGCCCAAGCACTTGGGCCATCCTCCACTGCACTCCCGGGCCACAGCAGAGAGCTGGCCTGGAAGAGGAGCAACCGGGACAGAATCTGGCGCCCCGACCAGGACTAGAACCGGGGGTACCGGCACCGCAGGCAGAGGATTAGCTAAGTGAGCCGCGGCACCGGCCTATAACCTCCATTCTAAAACTGACTAAACTAGGTTTTGAGAGGATAACTTGTTGGGAGGTCATTCATATAGCAGTCAAGTGGCAGTGCTGAGATTTAGAGCCAAGTTTCTTTTATGCTAGAACAAGCTACAAGATCCTGTTCATCTGCATTGTTACCTTCCTTTAAAAGTGAGTTGAGTTAGAATTAGACCACTTAAGAGATTGGGGTAGGAAAACTGGAATCAACACATTTTTGTTTCCTAGAATAGAACCATGTGAACTTCTTTAGTCTGACGCTATGACAGAATTAAAAAAGCTCAGGAGAAGCAGTTTCGCCTGGTAATTCGGAGCACAGGTTGTTGTAGCACCTAGGTCCAAATCCTGGCTCTAATTTACTAGCTAAGTAACCTTGACCCATTATTTATACTCTCTATGCCTCAGTTTTCTCACCTGTAAAATGGACATGATAACAAAAAATGCTTCATAGATATGTTTTTAGAATTGTCATCTTAATAGGATTTAGAACAGCATGTGGCACATAAGAAGCCCACGTTTGCTCTTTGAATGACATTGACCTTGTGGTATTTTGTTGGTATTGAGTATTGTTTAGCATTGATTATTAATTATACCATCAGAAACTCACAGAAAACTACTTTATTGAACATTTTTTTGTAATGTGTACAATGAGTTTCAGAGATTCACCTAGTCTTTTTTTCTTTGATGAGAAAACTTCCTGTATCTACATGGTCTTTGGTTCTAGGATCTGTATTTAATAATGTTTAATTATTTTCTTTCACGAAGCAGAATATAGTAATATCTGCCCCATAGACATACCATTTTGTTTAAAGATAAATGATACCGTTTAAGAAGTTTTCCTTATTAATCTTTGTTAGGTGGGTTGGCTGTGAAAACCTGGAGAGCTTCCATCTTCTCCAAAGAAGAGATACTTGGTAAACCTTAGTTAGGCTAATCACAAGGAGTCTCACTGATATAGTCCCATAAAATCACCAATTCTTTGGGTATTACACTATGAATAGGGCAGCAATTCTTCCCCAAATTTGACATGCTATGAATGCAGATAAAGAAGCCAGAGAACTTGTTAAAATGTTAATTTCCGAATTCCTCTTCAAGGTTATGATTTAGGGGCATGGGAGAGAGTGTGCTTATCAACACTTCTTGATGCACAAGTAGTTAAAGGAATGATTTAAATTAGTAACTGTTCTCCTAGTATGAAGAGAGAATGTGAAAACTTAAAAAGTCAATGTTTTGTTTGCTGAAATTTCTCTAGTAGCTACACTATCACTTGGCACATTATAAATGCTCAATGAATATTTATTGAATGAATTAATTTTAAGGGAGTCATAAGTACAGTGGGAATAGTAGAAACTGATTATGTAATATTAGTCTTATGTACAAGGGAGTGAACTACATAGATTTCCTTGTAGTGATCCACAAGCTTTTTGTACAAAGTATTCTGAAAGTACATATGTGAGATAGCAAGAAACTAGATAGTGAGAAATCATAGATCACCAACAGGTGATCTTCACTTTTTATGAAGACATCTCTTGTCATTGTAGTTAAATCTTAAATGTTATTTGTAAATATACTTTAAAACATTCCCTTTGGCACACTACAGGATGGTAACACTGAGCCTTTATCATCTAATATCCCAAATGGAACGTGACAATTTGTATCTCTCAAAAAATACTAAAGAAATATCTCTGTTCCTTTAAAGCCTTTGATTTATCTTCTCGTCCTCCCTGCTTGTCCGAGGACACTAGCCATGGTTATATTGTTTTGCCCAACAGCAGGAGGGGTCTACTCTAGGATGGCTGAAGAACCTATTAACTGTATCTTTTGTATCTGTACCTCACTTGCAGTCAAGAAGTAGCAGAGGAGCCTACAGTGATTGTAATTCTCTCACTTCATTTTTCCTAGGACAAATCTTGAATTCTCTGCTGTGCGACATACTTTGTCCTTAGTTTTCAGACATTTTCATGATACTTTAGCTCTAGATCTTATCATGCTCCATCTCTCTTCATACTCACAGTTGGATCTTCTAATTGATATTTACTGTAAACACTGACCATTTGATCTACTTTTAAAGAGTAATCAGCAGCCACTCTTGGATTGTGTTGGCTAATAGGCAGTCTGTATGGTCTGTAACTTGGAAACAGTTCTTAAGTTTGTGTCATCATCAGATCTGTCCTGGATCAGTGTAATGAAGCACTTGAAGAGGGAAGATTATCCATCAAGCTAGTTTAGAAATACAAAAATAAAATAATGCAATTCTAAACTACACTGTGTATTTGAACCTACAGAAATTTAAAAAAAAAAAAAAACAGAATAGTCCCTCAAAAGAGAAAAAAGCTTATGATCTCAACAGTTAGGAATTTGCTGGTATATTTTTAAAGTTTATCCTCCATTAACTTGTTCAATAGAAGAAAAATTATACTATATTATGTATTTAGCAACTTCTTTTGTAGATAACACCACATATAGAACAAACCATGAACTACATGATACGTACATTTCCCCAATGAATCTAGAGCCTTAATGATTTATAAAATTTTAAAACATAGTATCATCTGTCTCAAGACTGTTTTTGATATACTTGTGGTGTTTCAAATAGCTAAACATATTTTTGTTTGAATTGAGTGTATAAATTTTGGTATATAATACCAAATTTTAGTGAAATATGAAACTGCATTACAAAATATAAACTTAAAAAATCAGACTGAAAAAGGATGTACTGATATGTCAACAACAGTTAGTGTGAGACTTTTTTTTTTTTTAATAAATATGTAGTTTGAATACACATTATGTACTAGACTCTGTTCCAGATACTTGGAGTCTATCTGTGTAGAGAAAAACAAAAACAAAAACAAAAACCCTGTGTTCTAGTGAAGCTTATATTCTAATGAGATAAGATAGTTAATAAAGAAAATAAACACATAGTATAGTAATAGGTATGTACTGTAGGAAAATAACAGTGTAAGTGTAAGGAAGATTGGAAGTCAGGGGAGAAGTGGATCACAATTTTAAATAGGATGATTAGTCTGTTAAGAAATTTCTTGTACAAAGCTTTGAAGGAGATAGCTTGTTAGACATGGCTATATATGCAATAGCCAGTGCAAAGACTCTAAGGTGAAAAGCAGATCGTGTCTTCAATGAATAGCAAGGAGACCAATCAATTTAGAATAAAGTGGTAGAGTAATTGGAGATGAAGTCAGAGAATTTCTAGGTACAGATCATGAAGGTCTTGGATGCTGTGGTTAAGAATGTGGCTTTATTCTAGAGAAAACAGTGGTAACCTCAAGATTTTGTGCAGAGGAAAGATAAAATCAAGTTAAAAGGGTAAAGATAAAAGCTTTCCTCCTATATACTGAATGTCTTCAGTGCCCTCAAATTTGTGTTTGAAAGCCCAGTACTTAATGTGATGTCATTTGGACCAAGAGCCTTTATGAGTTAATTGGGTCATGAGGTTGGAGCTCTGGTGATAAGATTAATGGAATTATAAGGATAAGAAGAGATATGAAAGAACCAGAACGTGCTTCCCAACTCTCTCTCTCTGCTTGTGGCCATGAGAAAACAGGAGAAGCTGCTGTCCACAAACCAAAAATCAAGCCTTCTCTAAACACTGGATCTGTTGGTGCCTAGATCTTGAACTTCTCATCTTCTAAAACTATGAGACATAAAAATTTGCAGTGTAAAACTACCCAGTATATATCATTTTTTATAACATCCCACTTGACTAAGACAGTCAGTCTTGTTATGGGAATAGACCCTGAAGGGACAAGAGTAGAAGCAGAGAGGAAGTAGGAGAAAGATGCTAATAATTGGTCCAGTTCAGTTGCAGAAGTGGTAACAAT